ATATATATATATAGAGAGAGAGAGAGAGAGAGAGAGAGAGAGAGAGAGAGAGAGTGTGTGTATTCAAGTGCATGCACAGAGTATGTACCTGATAGTCTGCCCCACCATTTCTTTGGGTAATTAGCTTATTTTCTACAATATATAAGAGTTTCAACTAACACACCACTTTGAAATCTGGAATATCTTTTATCTATATAAACAGTTGCTTTTATTCCAATGAAACCAGAAACTATTTAATCCTGCTTTGTTTTTAAAAGATAATTCCCTAACAAAAATGTTCCTTGCACATTAATAACTGGGTGCTCCAATTAAATGTTACTGGCAAGAAAATGATAAAACCAACCACACACACAGAGCTCAACTCTTAAAACCCCAAGTTCCCATAAATCATAGCTTGTTGATATCCATGCCATTAATAATGTAGCAAGTATCCTAAAATATTTAATACTTACATTTTATAGAAATTATTGACTTTTCCCTTCAGGTTTAGTGACTCAGATGGAAAAGTAAATTTAAGCCTGTTCTCACATGACCTAAAATGTCAAGGTGATAAATCCTTTTTAAGGCTTAACTTGTATTACTCGGAGAGTGACAGCCACTGGAGGAAGTGAGCTCCCCATTATTAAACCAGAGGAGACCGATCAGTAAGAAAGGATGGCAATATGGATTTTAGCAGCTGGGTTTTCCAACATACGAACTGGAGTTGAATGAATGCTTACTCCTGGATTTCAGTGATCACAGTCATCATTTCTTCTCATAACCACTAGTACAGAAGGCGTTTGCCCCAACTCCAGAATATATAAAGAAGAAAAAATTACAGTACAGTGGACAACCTTGGGGGTGGGATGGGGTTCCTCATATTTCAGTAAAATTTAAGCTTCTAAAAGGCAAGAAGTAATTCTGACTGCTCATGGAGAATAAAACACAATCTAAGCATTATTCTTAATTGAAATGCAATTAAGAAGCAGCACATGAAGCTGGAAATTTAAGAGGCCTGTGTCTTCATGAAAACTTCAAGTAGTTCTCTCTCTTTAAATTTGGTTCAAAATGTTCTATGAAGACCTGTGGGATTTATTTCTGAATACTGGGTAGATTTATGTATTCAGAAAAGGGCTACCAGGAGTGTATGCCAAGAAAGTGACTTTAAGCTCTAGCAAAAGATCTGATTTCTGGCCTTTCAGAGGAAATCAATAAAAAAAAGGATAAGATTTTGTAAAATGAGTGGTTTCCCTGGTAAAGCTGTCCCCCTATTCGGCACTTATGTACAATGAACCTGCCTCAAGCTATAATGGTTTTGTGATTAGTGTGAATGAATTTCCCTCACCACATAGATTCACTATTGATTTTTAAATTAATAATCATATCTTGTATTTATATAGTTACCATCTCTGAGAAAATCTGAGTGCTAGTTGATGAATTCTAATTTATCTTCATACTATTCTGCTGAATGTATAGATTAGGTATTACAATTGCATTTTAAGGAGGAAAATCAGAACCATAAAAGTTAAATCACTGGCCACAGAGCTTTCAGAAAGCTAATAATAGAATCATCCATTAAAACCTGGTAGAGGTGGCTTCTAATTCTGGCTGTTTCCCAAAATCATCCAATCAGTTGGGTCAACTCCGATTATTCCTTAGGAAAAAGAAGTTGATCATAACAATGATTTGAAATTGCTGTGATTAATGGACATTTAGTTTTCTACAGATTATTTTGGTGTATAGTCACTGGGTTGAAGACATTTTTATTTATTGGACCATATGCATTTTTAGTGGTCTATGACAAATATCTTTGGAATGCGGTTATGTTATATGTGTCTGAAATTGATCTGGTAAGGGAGCGATGTAAAACTTAAATTCTACGGTTAAGTAGGTGTGGTTTTCCAAGGGTTGGGTATCTCTATAACCTATCTGGCATTGCTTTAGCTGAAAAAAAAATGACATAATCTCTCATCAAAAACTCGTTGTACTCATTCTTTCAATCATCCCTTCCTCCAGCCTTACCAATGTGGGACTCTGATTTCTCCCTTCTTTGTATTACTATTCATGTCCATTTTCCTTCTGACAAGTTTATGACTGTCCCTCAGTATTCTCCTTACTGCCACCACTCTACTTCTCACATTTATATGGGTAACCTCCTTATTGTCTCTCCTAGTTCACCTAGTCCAGGGATGGCGAACCTATGACATGCGTGTCAAAGGTGACATGCGAACTCATTTTTTTGGTTGATTTTTCTTTGTTAAATGGCATTTAAATATATAAAATAAATATCAAAAATATAAGTCTTTGTTTTACTATGGTTGCAAATATCAAAAAATTTCTATATGTGACACGGCACCAGAGTTAAGTTAGGGTTTTTCAAAATGCTGACACGCCGAGCTCAAAAGGTTCACCATCACTGTCCTAGAGGAGGTAGATCTACTCATTGTTCAAATTTATTGTTAAAAAATGGTTGTCACCTGAAGCATTCTACTTTCAGGCCATATTCCATTAAAAAAAAAAAGATTTCATTGGCCTCTCCACCAACTTTCACTGGAATTTCAACCTCTTGAAAGAGAAGAGCTCCTCCTCACTTTTCTACCTGAAGCCCCCCACCCCTGGGACTCCTTTTTATGAGGCGGTCACCCCATGATGACATATAAATGATGAAGAATGCAGGGTGTGATGGGACCTTGGGTGGACGAAGGACATGATGCCATGTCTCAGGGCACCATATCTGATTCACTGACTGCTGGTTTGTGGTCTCTGAGGTTCTAGTATCGCCTAGTTCAGTGATGGCGAACCTTTTGACCTTGGCATGTCAGCATTTTGAAAAACCCTAACTTAACTCTGGTGCCGTGTCACATATAGAAATTTTTTGATAGTTGCAACCATAGTAAAACAGACTTATATTTTTGATATTTATTTTATATATTTAAATGCCATTTAACAAAGAAAAATCAACCAAAACAATGAGTTCGCGTGTCACCTCTGACACGCATGTCATAGGTTCGCCATCACTGGCCTAGTTTATTCTCTGAAGACTCTGTCTCAGAAATCATCAATCATCCACCTCACTGTGCGGCAGCGAAGAACAAGGACCCCGGAGCCAGCCTGCCTGGGTCTGAATTCCTGTCCCACTGCTGCTAGTCGTCTGCTCTTGAGCAAGTTCCCTCACCTGCCTGGGGCTTGGTGTTCTTGCTTGTGAAATGGGGGACGTGCTTGTAATTATTTCATAAGGCTGTGTTGAGAACCAAATGAAAGACTATACATAAAGCTTTCAAGTAGGTGCTTACTAAATTTTGTTGAACTGTCTGGAGAGTAAAAATAACAAAAAGCTGTATCATACCTCCTTGTGTGTCAGGCATTGTCTTAGGAACTGGGGAGATGGCATTGACCTTAATATATGCCTCTTTCCAAAAATTAAGTTGCCTGCTGGGATCAAGCCCATATACATTGCTTGGCTCAAGAAATATATGTGAAGTACATGTTGAATCAATAAATGAACCCAATGTTTCTCCTAAGGCAATGAAATGCCCAGAGTATGTTATGAGCCATAATGAAGCAAGTCAATTATATCCATGATAACTACATTCTCTGAATGGTATTGAGCTCTTAATCTTTGAATATTGATTGTTCCCAGGCAATAAGGTTAGTGTTTTGCCATTTGCCAAAATATTTGAGTAGTCAGAATACCATATTTTTAAAGAAGATGAGTAACAAAGAGTTGACTATTTCTTTCATTCCTAATTGCATACAAAATAACATTCTCAACTTTTGGTTATGACCAGTCTTTTGAAATTGATTTTTTCCCTTGAATTGTAGGTCTCATTGTCCACGAAGGAGCTGCAGTTTACAGAGTGTTTAAGCGCTGGCGGGCTGTTAACTTACACTGGGATGTATTAAATTATGACAAAGCCACAGACATCGAAGAAAGTAGCCGGGGAGAGTCTTCTACAAGCAGGACTTTATGGTTGCCATTGACAGCTCTGCGGAACAGGAACTTGGTCCACCCCACGCAGCTAACCTCCCCGAGGTTTCAATGTGGCTACGTGTTATTACACCTGTTCAATCGGATGAGACCCCACGAAGACCTGTCGGAAGATAACAGCTCAGGAGAAGTTGTGATGAGAGTGACTTCAGTGTGACCAGAGTATAGGACGGTGCAGTGTGGACCACCCTGCACATTTTGGAATGTAATTGCAATGAATGGCAAAACCATAACACTTCTAAAAACACACATCTATGAACTTTTTAAAATTTATGCTTTTTATATGAACATTTGAATTGCAAATACATTTTTCTGAAAAAATAAAAGAGTCCTCTTGTTTGCTTTCTGATTTATCACACATTTTATAAGTTGATACTTGAAATCATGATCTGTATAATTTAACTCTACTTGGTTAAAAGAATGATGAAAGTTATCCTCAAGGCCCAAACTATTTTTTTCTTGCTTGTTTTAAATATATTTTTATCAAACTTTGTGCTCCATGTGTAATTTTTCAGACATGCTACAAATGGGGAAGAGTTTAGAATTCTGTGGGCTGGTTCCAAAGTGCCTATCAACGGAGCAGCCATGAGGCTCTGCACTGGACCTCCCTGTGCCTCATGCTGGTTGGCAAACTTGACCATGATTTTTTTTTTTTTTCGGGGGGAGGATGGGAGGAAATAATCTGTCAACAGGAAAGTAGATTCTAGGAATTATGGCTTGTTTTCTAACTTCTGAAACAGTACAGAGAGCTTGTAAAAAGATAAAGATAAGCTGAGTAGAATAGTTTTACTCCAGAACATGTTACATAGAGCATCCTGCATACTTATAACCCTAAAAGCTCACCAAAACATTGCATCACTGTGTGTGGGATAATAATACTGCCTCACATTTGCATAAACCTCTCATAGACCTATCAAAATGTTAGTGTCTTGATTTCTATGAGCACGGTCTTAATTAGATTTTCCTTTTGCAAAAGCTTATATACCTACTTAATCATTTAATCACCAATCCCATTACTTGGTTTAATGAAGTCCTGGGGAAACACATTTACCAGCAGTGAGATGTGTTTCTCTTTCACTAGATAAGTATTTTTTAAATGAAAAGAGGAAAAATGAGGCTATTGACTCCCCAGGATCAGGTTTCTAACTAGTGGAACCTGGAGATTTTCCACCGTTTTATCCTTCTAATGGGAGTAAATGGCACATTTTAATCGCAAAGACAGAATAGATGAGGCAGGCCGTCATGCTTTCCTTAGAAACATGAGTTGAGCATGTAGGTCATTTGAAGTAATTGATCAGATTTTAAAGCATATGAAACAAAATGCTTTGCACCCTACTTTCTAATAATAATCTTTGTATGATTAAAAACAGAATAGGAATGTTTACAGGTAACGTGATTTTTACACAGCAAATTCTACCAACACTTGAAATATTTTCCCAGTTAAAAAGTTGTCACAATGATTGGAAGATTACTTTAGTCCTAATTTTTCAGTTCAGAAAAAATATTTCTATCGTGTGTGAGATAAAGCATTACAGCAGGTGCTGAAATTTATAGCAAAGCTCAAATTTCCAGGTCCCAGTGGAACCTAGAGATTAATTCACTGCATTCATGAGGACGCCATTTTACATGCAGTGGATTTATCTGATAAATTAATCAAAGACTTCAAAGTTATTTTAAGAGATTTTCCCCCTAGGAAATATAGGCCATTCTTTGGCCTAGCACACATCTATTCCATGCTTCCCTCACCTCCCATCTCTTCCAGGACCCAGGATAATTATCCTCAGGAAAATTAATGATAATAATAAACAAAAAAAACTGTCCACAAAAAGATAAAGATGCAAACACAGCCTTTAGGTGTGCTTCCTATAAGGCTATGTGGGCATATTTTTAGTTAATGGGAAAAATAGAGGAAAAAAATTTTAAATTATAGTAAAGAAAATTCAGATGATAATTTTTGTATGTTTTAGTTTCCCATGGACATAGAGGAGAAAAATTAATTGATAGTTAATCATTAATAAGTTGCTTCCCCACAGTTTATTTTCACCTCCCTCAAATTCATGAAACTCTCTCAAAAATCTGTAAAGATGAAAGTACAAAGATGAAAACATCAATCTATATAATTCTCGGTCAGCAGCTAGGCCCAGAGCCGCACTTCTGAGTTCAGGCAAAGATGGATTTTCTGAAGCTGAGGAACGTTTTAAATGTCAGAAGCAGGTTTAAGGAGGGAGTTGACATTCATTTCTCACAGGTTTAATCTTTGTGCTGGCTTTAGATGTCATAGCCTTACAGGAAACAGAATTCTAAGTGAAATTATGAATTTCCCCCTTAGGGGACTTTATGCCTCAACAATCTTTGTTTCATTAGAAATCTTCCCACAGCCATGTGTATGAAGAATTTGAATTAGCCCTCTTCTAAATAAAAGTAAATTATATTTATTGACAGGATTGCAGGAAGAACATGTTCTTTTACTTTCAGTTTCACTTTTACTTAAAATTCCCTAGGTTATCACTTATATTGATCTTTTTCTGAGGCTAGTAGAACTAAGTTTAATCAAAATGACAGGCAAACTTTTTTTAAATAAGATTTTTTGACTCAAGTTCTTTAGGTTTGAACTAAAATAGTATTAAAACACCTAGCTCAGCCCTGGCCAGGTAGCTCAGTTGATTAGAGTATCATCCCAATAAGCCAAGGTTGCATGTTAGATCCCCTGTCAGGACACATACAAGACAACCAATGAATGCATAAATAAGTGAAACAACAAGTAGATGTCTCTCTCCCTCTCTCTCTCTCTCTCTCTCTCTCATCCTTCCTCTCTCTCTCAAATAAAAAACCTGAAAATAAATAAAGCAGCTCTGATTAAATAACACATCTACCTCCATGGATAGTGATTTTCTGGATATAGCAGAGAATGGTTTTGAAACATAACATGAAAATAGTAAGTGGATACACAAGCTTATAAGGTCTGTGTGACTATCAAGTCTGGTGAATAATAGCGTTACTACCATTACTTGTGTTGGACATGGAAGATTCTGTGGTTCTGCAGAGGCTTCTCTGAAGATATAATCACAGTGAGTTGTTCTCTCCAAATAAATCTCCTAAATGCGCAGTTGTAACATTCTACAGAGGAGCAAAGTAGCCCTTCGCTCTAATAATTTCCACTTGACTTGGTTGTCATTACCAGAAGAATATGCGTATTGGGTAGGGAGATGGGCAGTCTCAGCTGGGCATGGGCATCAGGAGAGGTGACAGCAAGTTGTCAATGTCAGTGGAAAATGTCATTCTTAGGACAAAAGGTTGGGACAATCCGTGCTTAAGGTTTCATTCTCCAATGTCTGTGTCAACATTCATTGAGCCAAATCGAATTGTCATCCACCGTGTTTACCCTTTGGAAGCACTTAGAATCAATTTTCTAGCTGTGCTCTGAGGTGTGTGTAAGCCTGGCTCCTATCCCAGCTTTGTGACCTAACTCAGGGCTGGTCATCTTAAACTCCTGTAGCATTCAAGATTGAAAATGTAAGACTTTCCTTTGGGAATAAGGCTACTTTATTCAGTAAATATTTATTGATCCTCAATTATGTGCCAAACACTGAAGGATGGTGGAGGAGAGGGTTTAGAGAGAAACACCAAGTGGGACATGGGGGTGGTACTGTCTTTAGAGATGAAAAGGGGTCCTACAGGGTACTGCTTTAGTCCCCTCTAGCTCCGAACTCCCCATGGAACAAGGAGACTGTGGACCAAGGGTACATGTCCACCCAGAGTCCATCCAGAGCCCACCTCTCCTTTAGACCATGCTATAGGCACTACACAAATGGCCCAGGTCTACTTTCTGAGCCCACATGAACTTCTTCTCTAGGTTCATTCTTATGGGGCTGGCCATTGCCTAGCATGGCCATCCCTAGGACCTGGGGCTGGCAAAGGGGCAGCTGAGGGGGCAACAGGATATGTGACTAAAGCTTGGATGTATGTGTTGTAGGTTACATATATGCAACCAAAAACCCTATAGTGAGGAGGGGATCCAGGGGTAGAAATAGAAGGGGCAAAGCCATGGAGTCCAAGAACACCGACCTGACAATTTAAATTTCACGGAGGTGTTTGTAAAGTTAAGAGGATAAAGCTTATTTTATTTAACAGTTTTTAACTTCATTTTTAACTTTAAGTATTGGACTTTTGGTATTAATTTGTACTCCTGCCTTGGACCCTATAAATATGAAGAGCTTGTCTATAGCATGGAGTTAAGAAATCAAACAAAATTGTTATATATCATCAACTACTATGTAAGGTTTTAAAGGGCTTCTACATTTTTTTTTCAAGGGATATCCTATATAATAAAAGCCCAGCGATTGAACGAAGGAACAACCAGAAGGACTGGTCAGCCAGTCGCTATGACATGCACTGACCACAAGGGGGCAGACACTCAATGCAGGAGCTGCCCCCCTAGTGGTCAGTGCACTCCCACAGTTGGAGCGCTGCCCGCCTGACCGGGATGAGCGCTCCCACAGCAGGCTGATCCCTGCAGGCCACGCCCCCCACCAGTGCATGAATCCCATGCACCAGGCCTCTAGTACAGTGATGGCGAACCTATGACACGCGTGTCAGAGGTGACATGCGAACTCATTTTTTTGCTTGATTTTTCTTTGTTAAATGGCATTTAAATATATAAAATAAATATCAAAAATATAAATCTTTGTTTTACTATGGTTGCAAATATCAAAAAATTTCTATATGTGACATAGCACCAGAGTTAAGTTAGGGTTTTTCAAAATGCTGGCACGCCAATCTCAAAAGGTTCACCATCACTGCTCTAGTAGTAATATAATTCTAAAGTCACAGTCTTCTGAGTTCAAAGCTAGGCTTATCTTTTAATTCTTGTGTAATCTTAGAGAAGTTTCAGGGAAAGTTTACTTAACAGACTGACTGGTTGATATATGTCCACCATTCCCTCTGTGAAACATACCAATTGCATCCAAAGCACTCATTCCAATTATCTACTGCTACATAAAAAACCATCCAAACTTAGTGGCTTAAAATAAATATCTTCTCTTTTGCTCACTACTCTGTAATTGGAAAGTGCTCAGCAGGGATGGCTCATCTCCACTATACATGGTATAACATAGTGATTTGACTGGAACTGGAGGATCTGCTTTCAAGATAGTTCATTCACATGGTTGGCAAGTTGGTGCTGGTGTCAGCTGGGAGCTCAGTCAGGACTATGTGCTATAGGCTAAGGGGATTAGCTTGGAATTAGCTTGGATTTCAGGTAGTATCCTTTTTGCCATACTCTGTTAATGTGGTCACCAAGTCCCCTCCAGCTTTGGGGGAGAATCATCTAGCATAGATTCTAAATGAACATGTGAGGTGGGACATGTAATTTTGACCACCTAGGAATATAGAATCCTCTCTAATAGACCCACACATGTTTGCTTTTACTAGGTAATTTGTCTAAGTTACTTC